TCTGAAAGGAGGGGCAGGTGAAAGAAGAATTTTGGATGTAGCTCTCACGTACTTCCTTGTCTCAATTTTGTAGATCAAATGCTTCCTAGATTTCAAAGCAGGAGGTTCCCTGTGCCACATACTTGCAGCTGCCTACAAATTCAAGAGTGACCAGGGATGGTGAGACGCCTTGTACATGCTTCTAACATGCTTCTAGCTGAGAGGGACTTGGCCTTTTTTTTTTTTTTTTACATTAAGTGTGTTTATGAAGGAAGTTAATAGGTTATCACAAGGCAGGGTCAATAAACACTAAGGAGACAGTCTTTGATTCACAGCAGCACCTCACCTCAGCCAGCAGCCAAGCCTCTCCCCAGGCCTCAGCCTCTTAGCCACGTGCCCCCTTGGCCTCTGCCTCCGTGGGCCAGAAAGGCAGCTTGTCACTTGCCTCACAGCCCCATGGTCTTGGTCCAGACGGGGAGAAGTACCCCACCCTCCCGCCAGCCCCCGGCCTTCCGGGCGTTTCCGGGAGGGACAGCCCGGGGGTGCACGGGGCGCCGAGGGGGCGCTCCCCCAACGTGCCCGCCCCGGTGCCCGCCAGAGCTCCCCACGGAGCCAGGTACCAGCCGGGCTGCGGCCTCCGGGTGCTTTGTGTGTGTTCGGAGACGCGATGGAAGCCGGAGGGCGCACGCTTCAGAGCAGGCCCCTGGCTCCGGGGCTGCCGGAACAAGGCCCCCTCTCACCCCCACCCCACCCCCGTCTGCGCTAGGACCACCTGCCCCCGGCCCCCGGGGCATCAGAGCCTCTCTGGGAGTCAGGCTGGAGGCAGCTGGCCTATTCGCAGCTTCACCACGAAGGCTCCCTGAACCCTGCTCCCGCATTACCTTGGCTTTGGGGTCCCGAAGCGAGGACAAGCCTTCAGGCTGGCTTCCACCATCCACCCCAGAAATGGGGCCAATAAGGTGGCAAACAAAGGGTGGGGAAGCCCACCTGTCTCATGAAGCAAACCTTTTCCTGGTGTCGTCGTCTTTGTCTTTAGGCCTGGTCAAAGGAACAGGGACATGGAGGTGGTCTCTGACATCCTTCTCCCGACCCGCAGTGAGGGGCTCTCTCTACCTTTCCACTTTCTTCCTGCCCAGAAGTGTGGACCCCCCCACCCCATCCTGACTAGGAATCTGGGCCTGTCCTCAGGGTCTCCCTGGGTGTTGGGCGCCTGACCGAAAGCCGCCCGCCCGCTGGCATTGGGGCTTGTCTGCACTCCCGAGAGGCACGGGCTCTCTCTGGGAGGGAGATGAGCCTGGGCACAACCTGTGACCTGGTTCAGCTGTCCTGCTCTTAGCTCTGCCCTCAGTCTCTTTACCAGCTCCTTCTTCACATCTCTTACTGAGCGGAGCTCTTTTCTTTGTACTAAGGGTGGAGGAAACAAGGGTCACAGGTAGAGAAAGTTCGCATCTGGCATGGATGCTGCGGTGCGGAGGAACGTGGAAATGTGTAAGGGGCCCGAGCAGGTTTGTGTCAGAGTTTCCTCAGAAGGAAAGATGCCCTGGCTGTTGCCCGCCAGGCAGGTGCTGATCCTTCCCATCAGGAAGGGCCTGCCCCAAGCCTTGAAGGCATTTATGCCCAGTTCCTAGTAGAAGCAAAAACGGCAAGCTCGTTGGTTCTCCCTCTGCTCTTGGGCGGCTTCACTTGCTGTGCCTCTCTTTCTAGTCGGGCTCTTGACCTTCCACAAAGTCCCGCCATGCTCTATCATGGTCTTCTTCCTCAGTGAGCCCTGTAGGTGTTGCCCCCATAAACCTTCAAGATTTTACAACCCTCTGTGAACTGGCAGCGATCAAGTGATATGATATCAAGGTCCTGCAACTCATAGCGGAGGGAAGACTAGGAAGCGTCCCTTGTCCCCAGCACCTGATATTGGCAGGCTGGGCTGCTGGCAGCCGACTGTCCCATTTCCCGGTCGAGGTGTCCAGGCCCTCCCTTCTGCCCTTTTCTTTACGGAGACGAGACACCTGGTGAGAAAAAGCACTGTTTTCTCAGTGCTTCCAGAGCACCTGCCGAAGAGCTAGGGGAGACAGGGGAAACGTCGTCTAAGATCTGTTTGTCTCCCCTCTCACTGTTTCCCCAGTATATACAAGCGGAACCACCCACCAACAAGTCCCTGTCGAGCCTGGTCGTACAGTTGCTACAATTCCAGGAAGAAGTTTTTGGCAAGCACGTCAGCAATGCTCCGCTTACGAAGCTGCCGGTGAGTGCAAAGCCCAGGGACAACCCTTCCACACGGGACAGGGAGCTGCGTCTGGTGGGCAGGGGGAGGCGTGAATTATTTATAGATTTCATGATTTTTTCATCCTCAGTGATGGACCAGGTCAGGGCATTGCAGGCTTGACCTCATCCCCAAGTTACTATTCCTTTTATCTTAGGAGTGCGTTGGGCCGCAGGGTAGCTCAGAGCATCTGAGCTCAGTCCACAAGACCATTGTGGCAGGGCTGAAAAGACAGGAGGTTTGGATTTGTACAGGCTCGCGTTCAAATTCTGGCCCGGGCGCTTGATGGCCCTGTGGTCCTGGGCAGGCCGCTTGACCTTTCTGAGCTTGGTTCCCTCTTCCCCAGGTGAGAAGAAGGATAGCTCCGTAGTAGGGTTTCCATAGTGGTACGTGAGGTCACTAGGAAAGTGCGTGGCATAAGGTGGTGCTTTGTGGACAGTGGAGCCTTTCCTCCTCCTTCCAGGCCACAGACTACAGTGGCTACAGCCGCCCGCCCGCTCTGAGGAGG